CAGAGGAAGGCGGTGGAATTAACCAGTCAACTTTCATTCAAAGGAGTGGAAGAAACGGTCAAAATTAAGGTGGGGCCCGCTCTGGATAACGCAACTGGCCGGACTTTCAATTTATTTTAAACACCACCAACCAAACCTACTCTCCCTTCCCACGTAGATCCGACACTTGTCTCAATACTCTTTTTTCTTTCAAATTTCACACTCGAAATGCAAATTTCTAATACATAATAATAAATTATACTCGCTTTGTTAGTTAAATTAAATCATATACTTTTTTCTAAAATCTATTTTTAAACCAAAAGTTTTAARTATCGATGTTGATGGATATGTCGAACTATCAATTTCATAGAAATATCGACAAAATGTCGATGTCGATGGATGTTTCTGTAAAARTTAGAAAAATTAAAAAATCGTAAAAAATATTTAAATTAATAGATAAATATTTTCTAATTTCTAAATTAGTTAAAAATAATTAATATTAATATTATGTATATATTAGTGACATTTTGTTGATATTTTTCCTATTTTGTCGATTTTCTTGTACTATGATGRAAACGTTGATTTAACCCTCATGTCAATGTCAAATCTATGAAAACATGGATATGTCGATGAAAATGTCGACGTGTCGACGGATATTTAAAACCATAGTTCAAACTTTCTTTTAATCAATTTTATATCTAATAAATTTCTGAACTTAAAATGTGTCTAATAGATTCTTTAAAAATTAATTATGTGSTTGATATGTGCTTGATCTATAAGATATTTTTCAATATTCACAAACTTATTTGGATACATAATTGAAAGTTTAAAAATTCCAATGGACATAAGATTTTGAGTTTGTGACTAATAAATCAATAAATTTTTAAAAATTGTTGAAAATGTTAGGCATTCGTTAAATATAAAATTGAAAGATAAGAAACTTAATAATATAAAAAATGAATTTTTTTAAGGACTTGTTGGACACATTTTAAAGTTAAAAAGACATAACATTGTAGGTTAGGAACTAAACTTGTGCTTTAATTAAGTATTTAATACATCTCTAAATTATTAATATTGTGTCTAAGAAATCTTTAAATTTAAAAAAGTGTCTGCTAGATTCTTAAACTTTGAATGTTATGCCTAATAGATATCTAAATTTTACAAACTACCCGATAAATCTGTGTAATTTCAATTTTATGCCTAATAGGTTATTGGACTCTAAAAGTATCAAGTTAAATGATCTATTAGACACAAAATTTAAATTCAATGACTACTTAGATATTTTTAAAATTCAAAGACTTATCAAATACTTTTAAAATTTAAAGACTTGTTAGACACAACATTGAAAGTTTAGAAGTATATTAGACACGTTTTTTAATACTTGAGATCCTATTAGACGCTACGTGAAAGTTTAGACAAATGTTTAGCTTAGACGTAAGAGAAACTAAGGCTTCGTTTGGCCACGTTCTCATTTCTTGTTTCTCGTTTCTAATTTTTTTAAACATTTTACAATTAACTATGTTTGTTGTTTCTCATTTTTTGGGAACATTCTCAAAATTATATAGAAATTTTAGAAACAACCAAAAACAAGTTTCTTCTTTCTTGTCCCCATTTTCAATTTATTCCAAAACATAAATAAAAAGATTGTTGTATCATACTTGAATTCTTGGGTATTGGAGTCATACAATTTATTTTTCTTCGTTAGAAATGAAGAAACAGAAACGTTACCAAACGAGCTCTAAAATGTTTTAGGTTCTTGTCAAAAATAAATAATAAGGGTACTACTTTATACTTCCTCTCAATTGCCTTCTTCATTTAAGTAACTCATGTTCTTCCACGTCAGCATCTTAAAATCAAGTAATTTATATATATTGATGTCATATGGTAAGAAAGTAAACATGATAATGCCAAACTTGAACCAGCATTATCCGAAGATTACTCTACTAATTAAAGATACATGCTTCTAAGCTTCCATTTACTTACCAGAAATAGAGATGAGAATTAAGGAATTTAAACAAGAATATTATTCTTTTATATTGTTTAGCAGAAATTTTCTACTACTCGAATTAGAAATGTTTTTATGATCAATTGAAATTAGAATAAAATATATAAGAATTACTAATATTTCCGTTTCTTATTTCTAGATAATTATAAACATAATGTTGTGTTCATATTTTCAATTAAAATGATAATAAAATTCATTTTATTTTATTACTATTTTTTTGATAATAAATATTCTTTTATTATAACAATTTACTTAATATTAACTTATTATAAGTAATTAAAATAAAATTGCATAACCAAAAGAATTTTTTATTAGAACAAAACATCATTAATATAGATTATTATTAAATTTTATTGTTCTAATATTTAATAATAAGGAATTATATCTTAACAATTTTAATTTATTGATATTAATTAATAATAACAAAGTGAAATTAAAAAATAAAAAAAATAAATAGAAATTTGTAATGTGCTATAATAAAATGACATAAACGTTGTATAAATTTTTATTAGAAGATAAATTATTAATAATATAAAGAAACAAAGAAATAATAAAAATGAAAAACAATTAATTAAAAAGTTAGGGGTGAGAGAGTAAAAGATAAGAGTAGTAAAGTAATTATTAAAAAGATTTGAAGCTATAGAATAAGGGACGAGAATGTGATTAATGAGATTGCATAGGAATGGAGAGATTATTGATTTGTAAGTTTAAGGTAGGTCTCACTGATCAATTCAACTCTTACCATTTAGTATTAAAAGAATGAAAATTTTGATTCTCATTCTCTTGATGTAAACGGGGTCTAGAAGACAAATATTTGAATCCCCACCCCACATTTTTAACTCATAAAGATAGGAAAAAAAAATGGTGAATCACATCACTTTCTTCTCTTCCCCATATTCTTCTTTAAGGTGCCAAATTTTTCGTCTAAATTTCTACTACTTCACTGATTATCATGTGATGTAAGTTTTTTATCATCTACTTTTAACATTCACCAATAAATAGTGCTGATGTGCGTTTCTGTTTGGAGGCGACACATTAATGGTAGTCTTACATGGCCCTGACTTTGGCTTGGTCTTCACTATCACCTACAAACAAAATCCTGCATTTATGTGGTGCTCACCACGTACCCTTCAAAGCTCAAGTTAGTAATAAGTTCGGGCTTAGTGTCAAGTTGTGCCGAATTTGAATGTAAGAAATTGTGTACTTTTGAGATTATGGGAGTGTTTAAAATTGTTGCTTTGACATTGAAGTTGTCGTACTTGTCTTTTAATGTGGCAATTGGAAGATCATCTGACAATAGAATTCTCCTTCCGCCAAATGTTAGTGTATTTCCCTTTAATCGGTGTCTTCTCCAAATTAGAGTCGAGCTAAGTTTGGAGCACTTTGCACGGATCCTCCCTCCTCGTCTTTGAAGTGTCCAAACTAAGGCTCGACATAAATGTCCAAAAACATTAAAACATAGAGATTCAAACTTAGAAACTATAAGAACAAAATGAACCAGAAAAAAAACGAAAACTAAGGAAAGTCAAGTAGGGACAATAGGGGAGAGAAGGAGATTCATGTTTTGACAATTGAGCATCCAACCACCACAAGAGGTCGGCAAAGCATTATTGGGCCACATGTCGTAACATTGTGGGCCAATGAGACGACAACAGAAGTATCTAAATTTTCCACTTCTTTCCGACTTCCGACGTGTCGTCTCCCATGCACAGCCAGGTGTTATGGCAAGGCAACTTTCGACCATGTCCATTGGGCCACGTGTTAAATCCAATTTTATATTAATTGAATGGAATTTGAGTAAAGGTTTTTTTTTTAAGTACCTTTTTTGGTCGAGATACAGGGGAAATTTGAGTAAGAGTTGGGTTGCTAACTTGCAAGCCAATTATATCCAACTACTTGATTTTAGGGATGACAATGGGACGAGATGGAACGGGATCAATCTCCATCCCCACCCCTACCTCTGCCTCAAAATGACGGGGACGGGGACGGAGATTTCTTGAACGGGGCGGGTTCCACATAGGACTCGTCCCCGACGACACCCAATTACAATAATTTGAGGTTTTTTTAATTTTTTTTCCTTTAATATATATTTAAATGTTTTTTATTTTTTAAAATAAACTTTTTTTTATATTGTACATAAGGTAAAGAAGAGTGGAACTGACTGTTGGTAGATAAGATTGGTTAAAAAAAAAACTAAAATTAAAGTTAGGGTTTGAAAGAACAGAAAGAGAAATTTGAGCTTGGGCCTTTCCAAACTTCAAAAAGTATATTTAAAAATAAATATTTATTAATATTATTATATATAAAATAATTATTGGTTATAAAATTATTAAAATAATAAACGGGGCGAGGATACCCTTTCCCGTCTCTGACGGGAAATTCAGAATAAATTCCCCGGTTTGACCCCGTACCCAGTCAAATTGGGGATTCCTCGTCCCTATCGGGTTGGGTACCCGCAGGGTTCGGGTCCTCGAGGTTTTTTATGTTATCCCTACTTGATTTAGAGTGCGTTTGAGTGTTTGGTATGTTTTTTAAACAATCTGATTTTTTAATAAAATTATTTTTTCAATAAATAACTTTGAAATAATTAACAATAATTATTATTATTATTATTTTTTTTTTTTGAGAAATACAAGCATTCAGTGATCTTTTCTCCTTTTTCAAGTTTAAAAAACATTTTTAAAATTGTGTACAATAAAATTAAAAATTTGGATTTTTGTTTTTTTCTTTGGTGCGTGTACAATTTTTTCCAAAATATGAATAAAAATGGTTATTTTAATATTCTTGATTTATAAACACATAATAAATATTAAACAAATAATTATAACACAAAAATTTTGAATACTTAATTTAAAAATTATATTCCATAAATTGTTCTACTGCAAAAAAAACATTACCAAATGGACATAAATAAACCACCCATTCCAAAAGAGTATAAATCATTTCAAAACAGAACAAACAAAACCAACTTTGTCATTAGAAGAAACTTCAATCACCATTCACATTCATAACATTAAGTATTAACCAGTTTCAGAAAACACAATGATTCCTTCCTCTTCCCATGGAAACAGAGTAAGAAAGAAAAGCAATTTCAAGGAAGAAAAAAGCAAGCAACCATTTTCTTTCTACAAAAGTGAGTAAAAAGTGGTTTTCTATATATAAAAGTGCTTTCTCTTCCTCTTCAAGTAGTGAGGATTGGAGGGAGATAGTTAGATTTGGCACCAAGAACTCGCGCCTTGGTATCGGGGAAGCACTCGAATCCTGGAAGCTCTGTAACTTCACCATCTTCAGAGATGCCAATGGGGTAGCGAAGCAAGTGGCCAGGAAGATCATGCTCAAAACTCTCGCTCGAATACAGATCCCAATATTTATCAGCAAGTTGGTTCACTCTTCTCACACACTCAATGCTGTCTGGGTAGAGGAAGGATTCATGGAGCAGTCCTAGATGTTCGTACCATAATGCCAGGCGGAAGCCATGGATTTCGCCTCGCGCTGGCTCTCGAGTTGACAGATGAAATGGCTGGTATGCTCCCATGGCTATCTCTGAGTCCCTGGCGCCAGACATTGATCTTTGGTTGATGTTGGCTGATCCAACGATTATGTATTCGTCATCAACTGTTTGGAAGTTGCAAGCCATGACCAAACGTTAGCTTTGTCAAAAGAGATTTATTATGACTTTAGGGACCACTTCCATAGTAGACTAAAAGACTTGAGTCAATTATAAGTTTGGTGGGGAGGAATAGGTTTAAATACTATTTTAGTCTTGGTTCCTTCTGCTTTCAAAACATTCATTTTGATTTTTGAAGTGTCAAAACTTCCATTTTGATCCTTCTACTTTTAAAAATGTACTAATTTGTTCACATTTACAAAAGTTTAACACGAGTTTTATAAACAATAAACTTTTTAGTAAAAATTTGTGTCTACRTTTCAAAAATTTAGAAAGTGAAATGTCATGCTAAAATTATGATTCAAATAAATAAGATAAAAATAAAAATGAAAATGCCAAAATAGTCACTTTTTTAAATCACAAGGACCAAAATAGACATGATTCAAAGAAATAAGATAAAAATAAAAATGAAGAGGCCAAAATAGCCCCTTTTTAAATTACAAGTACCAAAATAAACGTTTTTGAAAGTACATGGAAAAAATGAACTAAACTAGAAAGTAAGTGTACCAAAATAGTAATTAAAACAAAGGGGTACATCTAAAAAAACGAGGGTTAGAAAGTGTATAGAAAGAGAGTGGTAAGAATAGCTGTGAAACCGAAAGAGAAAGATGAGTATGTAAGGAGAAAAGAATGGTATAGAATGAAATAAATCCACAAAAGAAAGTCTAACAAAGTTACTGATAAAACTTAGATGCTTATTGGTAAGTAGGACCAGGGTTAAAAATTGACAACCAAGAGATAGGTAAGTAGGACCACGGTTAAAAGTTGACAACCAAAAAAGAGGAATGCATGAATAAACAGAAATCAAATAGAAAAAATAGCTATCAAATTTTGAATGTAGTTTTATGAAA